ACAGTTTTGGTAAAGAAATGTAGTAGACTTTCTTCTTGCTATTCCATAAATTCTTTAGCAATTGACCACTGCATAACTTAATTGTTTTCCAGGAGTGTGAGATTCTTGATATCATCCAAAGACTGACATGTAAGTAGACTGATGATCTGAAAAGTCTTGAGAAATAGAAGCACATAGGTCAGAAGGGGGCCTAAAGGAAACCCATATACAATCAGGTCCATAAATATTGGGACATCGACACAATTCTAACATTTTTGGCTCTATACACCACCACAATGGATTTGAAATGAAATGAACAAGATGTGCTTTAACTGCAGACTGTCAGCTTTAATTTGAGGATATTTACATCCAAATCAGGTGAATGGTGTAGGAATTACAACAGTTTGCATATGTGCCTCCCACTTGTTAAGGGATCAAAAGTAATGGGACAGAATAATAATCATAAATCAAACTTTCACTTTTTAATACTTGGTTGCAAATCCTTTGCAGTCAATTATAGCCTGAAGTCTGGAACGCATAGATATCACCAGACGCTGGGATTCATCCCTGGTGATGCTCTGCCAGGCCTCTACTGCAACTGTCTTCAGTTCCTGCTTGTTCTTGGGGCATTTTCCCTTCAGTTTTGTCTTCAGCAAGTGAAATGCATGCTCAACCGGATTCAGGTCAGGTGATTGACTTGGCCATTGCATAACATTCCACTTCTTTCCCTTAAAAAACTCTTTGGTTGCTTTTGCAGTATGCTTTGGGTTATTGTCCATCTGTACTGTGAAGCGGCGTCCAATGAGTTCTGAAACATTTGGCTGAATATGAGCAGATAATATTGCCCGAAACACTTCAGAATTCATCCTGCTGCTTTTGTCAGCAGTCACATCATCAATAAATACAAGAGAACCAGTTCCATTGGCAGCCATACATGCCCACGCCATGACACTACCACCACCATGCTTCACTGATGAGGTGGTATGCTTAGGATCATGAGCAGTTCCTTTCCTTCTCCATACTCTTCTCTTCCCATCACTCTGGTACAAGTTGATCTTGGTCTCATCTGTCCATAGGATGTTGTTCCAGAACTGTGAAGGCTTTTTCAGATGTCATTTGGCAAACTCTAATCTGGCCTTCCTGTTTTTGAGGCTCACCAATGGTTTACATCTTGTGGTGAACCCTCTGTATTCACTCTGGCGAAGTCTTCTCTTGATTGTTGACTTTGACACACATACACCTACCTCCTGGAGAGTGTTCTTTATCTGGCCAACTGTTGTGAAGGGTGTTTTCTTCGCCAGGGAAAGAATTCTTCGGTCATTCATCACAGTCGTTTTCCGTGGTCTTCTGGATCTTTTGGTGTTGCTGAGTTCACCGGTGCGTTCCTTCTTTTTAAGAATGTTCCAAACAGTTGTTTTGGCCACACCTAATGTTTTTGCTATCTCTCTGATGGGTTTTTTTTTCAGCCTAATGATGGCTTGCTTCACTGATAGTGACAGCTCTTTGGATCTCATCTTGAGAGTTGAAAGCAACAGATTCCAAATGCAAATAGCACACTTGAAATGAACTCTGGACCTTTTATCTGCTCATTGTAATTGGGATAATGAGGGAATAACACACACCTGGCCATGGAACAGCTGAGAAGCCAATTGTCCCATTACTTTTGGTCCCTTAACAAGTGGGAGGCACATATGCAAACTGTTGTAATTCCTACACCGTTCACCTGATTTGGATGTAAATACCCTCAAATTAAAGCTGAGAGTCTGCAGTTAAAGCACATCTTGTTCGTTTCATTTCAAATCCATTGTGGTGGTGTACAGAGCCAAAAATGTTAGAATTGTGTCGATGTCCCAATATTTATGGACCTGACTGTAGCTGTATGTACCTTCCTAAATGAATAGCACAACATATTGCACATAGGTCTGAAAACATACAGCTGTATAGACCCTATTCCTAAACCCCGTGCCCTTTTAACTTTTTGAGGTTGACTTACTGAAGGTAAATAGGGTGTTTACTTGCAAGAAAATTTTCCTTTAGCACAGTATTTTCCTTACACATGATTGGATGATAAAAGTCAGCAGAGCTTCACCTCATTCACTAACCGAAAGAAAAATTCCCTTGCAAAGTGAGCAGCCTATTTGACTTTAGTAACTCAACCTCATTTCTATAATTGGTGGCACTGCTGCTTGAAAATCTATAACAGACTGACTAACTCTAGGTTCACATTATTGCGGTTGTTGTGGCTCATGTTTGCTTGGGCACAGCAACCCATTCATGTGATTGGGTTGCTGTATCTACATTTCCCGCAGGGAAAAATGTGTGACCATTATTTTTTTTTTTTTAAACAAGGTCGTATGGAACCTCATGGTGCTTTTGCATCATGCGTTGTCATGTACCCAAAAACAGGCCACGTTTTCCAATGCATAGAGGCACCATCAAGAATTAATGACACCCACACATTTGCAAAAGAGCAGCACGTTTTGGCTGTGGGTGCACACACGCATTCCCCCACCTACAATAAGGTGAATCTAGCCTAAGAGAAGTCCATGATACACTCTTGAAAAGGAAGCATAAGGTTTGTGCTGCCATCCCGATCCTTCATTCACTGTTTGGTGAGTCAATTACATGAATCAGCCATACCACACATCAGAACATCTGCTATACTCATACTAGTTCCAGATCAATGACTCATATAGTAGCAGTGCAAGGCTTTTATTCCCATCCTACTAGATTCTCTTTAAACTAAACCTGTCATGAGAGAAACATGTGGACCACGATCTCTGATTTTCTTGTGAAAAAGGAATTTGCTATCTCTAATGTAACCATTTTCATTGACCCCCAACTAATATGTAGGCAGTGAGGTCAGAATTCCTGATCTGTATATTTATTCCACATCAGTGGCCAAAACATCACAATTATAGCCAACTAGAATTTTTGAGTTAAAAATCAGCCAACATACATGTCTCAGTAGATATCTGCATCCGGTTTCAGACACATGCAATAACTAGTAACACTGCAAGTAGCATTATAAGGCTATAAGATTGATCAAAATTTGCGAAACAGTTATAATTTAAAAAAAAAAATGATGAAACATTGAAAATACCTTGATGGGAGTATGGCATTTTGGAGGAATAGATGTCCCGATAATGACTGCTTTGGCATGCAGACCACGCTAAGTAACACCAACATGTGATGCTGAGCCTCTATGATTGAAAGAACTAAAATCCAATGAATGAAAGGTGTGAGGCATAAACATTAAGGCTAATGAGGATGGGGCTAGATGATGCTGAAAGTCTTTTCCAAAAAATGAAGTGGGTTCATCTGACCTGCTACAGCTTTCAATGCAAACTGTGAGAGACTCACAGTGTACAGTAGAAACAGAGTAAGCAATTTCGGCACAGGAGAGGAGCCTGTACAACTGTGCAAAACTGAGGGTGAGCTTTAACTAAGAGCATATGTACATGGCCTTTTGTCAGAATCTCACCTGCTTTTCTTTTCTCATACAAGTTAGTAAAACTATAGGCAACACCTTTTTTTCACATTTTGGATAGAGAGGGGGGGGGGGTTATAACCCCTACCAGATTTTATTTCACTATCTAGACTCATCCACCTCACCAACCGCTCCACATCTGCCACCCAACTCTGCCAATCCCTTCAATGGCTCCCGATTGCCCAGCACATCAAATTCAAACTGCTAACTCTGACCTACAAAGCCATTCACAACGCCGCCCCAAACTACCTAACCGACCTGATACCCAAATACTACCCTACCCGTGCCCTCCGCTTCTCACAGGACCTCCTACTCTCTAGCTCCCTGATCTCCTCCTCCCACGCCCGATTGCAGGATTTCTCCAGGACTTCCCCCATCCTCTGGAACTCCCTACCCCAAACCATCAGACTGTCACCTACCCTCCTCACCTTCAGGCGCACCCTGAAAATCCACCTCTTCAGGGAAGCCTACCCCACCCTCACCTAACAACCGATCTCCTCCACTCCTCCCACCACTCCATCCCCCACAGCCACTTCCTCCTGTACCACTTTCCCCTCCCTCCTAGATTGTAAGCTCGAAAGAGCAGGGCTCTCGAACCCCTCATATATTGTATTGTTTCTGTCTTATCTCATGTTCTGTCCCCCTTGCTATTGTAAACCCTTTGGCGCTATATAAATACTGTATAATAATAATAATAATCTGTGTCCCATTGCAGAGATTTGCTGTCCAATAGCAAAACAGGAAGTGAGAGGAAATCCCTGAAAATTAAGAGAATTTCTTGGGGACCCCCAGGTCACCAGAACTTGTGTTCCCATTGGAAGATGTCCCCTTTTCTGGGGACAAACCAAAATTTTGGATTTTATTTTACGCTCACTTTCAATGATAATGATAAACAGGACAAATAGAGAACAAAAAACAAGGAGCGACAACCCCAGCCAGAATGACTATAGATTGTAGGAGACAGCAGCTCTTCAAAGTGTGCACCACCTTAAACCAATATAAAAAAAATGCTTATCTTCAATTAATGTGCTATCACAAAATTCGATTGGGGTGTGGATAAAATAATTAATATATGCCATGATCTCTAAATAACACAAAACACATGCATAAACATTGTATGTATCAAATACTCATGAGTAGACCAAATAAATCAGTGAAAAAAATATTAATTCATATAATAAGAGAGGGTGAATCTCTTTAACCACTTGCCTACAGGGCACTTTTACCCCCTTCCTGCCCAGGCCAATTTCCAGCTTTCAGCGCTGTCACACTTTGAATGACAATTGCGTGGTCATGCAACACTGTACCCATATGAAATTTTTAATGAGGCTGTAGTGATGGGCACTGATAGGATGCACTGATAGGTGGCACTGATGGGCACTGATGAGGAGGCACTGGTAGGTGGCACTGGTGGGCATTGACAGGCATCACTGATGGGCACTGAAAGGCAGCACTCATATATGGCACTGATAGGCGGCACTGACAGGCACTGATATGCGGCACTGACTGGCACTGTTAGCTGGTACTGACTGGCACTGTTAGGTGACACTGATAGGCAGCACTGACGGGCACTGATTTGCAGCACTGATAGGTGGCACTGACTGGCATTGATAGGTGGCACTGACTGGCACTGATGGGTAACACTGAAAGGCAGCTCAGATGGGCACTGATATGTGGCATTGATGTGCACTGATGGGCACTGGCAGGTGGCATGGATGAGCACTGAGAGCTGGCACTGATGGACACTGATAGGTGGCACTGCTGGGGCTACACAGATCATCAGGGCACACTGATCATCAGTGCTCTGATGATCAGTGTACATGTCCCCTCCGAGGAATGCCAATCACCGGCTCTCCTCACCTCTCGAGCTGTCAGCGTGACAGCTCGTGAGGAGAGAAATGCCGATAACCGGCATTTCCCTGTTTACATGTGATCAGCTGTGATTGGACACAGCTGATCACATGACCGAGCCAACATCTTTGGCTCTTTCTATTAATCGGTGATCCGCTGTGTCCGAGGGACACAGCGCACCGCCGATCACCGCGCTGCACACTCCCAGAGCCGCGCATGCACGGTTAGAATGGGACAACGTCATATGACGTCGTCTCAGAACGAAAGAACCACCTTGCGCCTGTCATTGTACTATATGGCGGGCGGCAGGTGGTTAATGGGAACACAGGCAGCAATAATAACTGACTGGGTTCTAATCCCTCTCCACTCCATCCAAAACTAAACAAAAAAGTTTTCCCTATAGTTAAACGTAACTTAAAGCAGCTCAATGCAACTCAAAAGCAAATTGAAGCAACATTGTAAGCAACTGAAAGGCAAATTAAAGCAACTTACACATAAATCAAGATATTTCAGCTCCCAAAAAGCATATAACGTTTACCTTGTTATTAAGTATAAAGCCTGTCTACACACACTCTAAAGATATACAGTTGTGTTCAAAATAATAGCAGTGTGTTGAAAAAACTGAATAAAGCTCAAAATCCTTCTTATAAATAAAATAGTTTTTATTTCCATACACACAAATGCATTGGGAACACTACACATTCTATTCCAAATCAAAACATGAAGAAAAATATATCAAATTTGTGTTGTTCCTCTAAACAAATTGAAGAAAAGTGAATATTAGACTGTTCAAAAAAAATAGCAGTGTTTGTATTCTTCTTTACAAACTCAAACATTCACTATATAAACTGAAAAATGTTTGAAGATTTTGCTTTCCTTTGAATCACTTAATTATTATTTAGTTGTATAAGCACTGTTTCTGAGAACTGCTGTACATCTGTGTTGCATGGAGTCAACCAACTTCTGGCACCTGTGAACAGGTATTCCAGCCCAGGATGATTGGACTACATTCCACAGTTCTTCTCTATTTCTTGGTTTTGCCTCAGAAACTGCATTTTTGATGTCACCCCACAAGTTTTCTATTGGATTAAGATCCGGGGATTGGGCTGACCACTCCATAATGTCAATCTTGTTACTCTGGAACCAAGATTCCTGGTATGCGATAAATAAGCCCAACACCGTAGTATGAGAAACATCCCCATATCATGATGCTTGCGCAACCATTCTTCACTGTCTTCACAGTGTACTGTGGCTTGAATTCAGTGTTTGGGGGTCGTCTGACAAACTGTCTCCGGCCACTAGACCCAAAAAGAACAATCTTACTTTCATCAGTCCACAAAATGTTGGGCCATTTCTCTTTAGGCCAGTCAATGTGCTCTTTGGCTAATTGTAACCTCTTCAGCACATCTTTTTTTCAACAGTGGGACTTTGCGGGGGGCTTCTTGCAGATAGCTTGGCTTCACATAGGCGTCTTCTAATTGTAACAGTACTCACAGGTAACTTTAGACCTTCTTTGATCTTCCTGGAGCTGATTGTTGGCTGAGTCCTTGCCATTTTGGCTATTCTTCTATCCATTCGAATGGTAGTTTTTCACTTTCTTCCATGTCTTTCAGGTTTTGGTTGCCATTTTAAAGCATTTTCTGCACTTCTTTATATGTTTTCCCCTCTCCAATCAACTTTTTAATCAAGGTACGCTGTTCTTCTGAACAATGTCTGGAACGACCCATTTTCCTCAGAATTTCAGAGAGAAATGCACTGTAACCAGCATGTATAACATTTTCTGCCTTCCTTCCTTCCTTCCTTCCTTAAATAAGGGCAATAATTGCCACCTGTTTTTCAAAGAATGAATGACCTCACTAATAGAATTCCACGCTGCTATAATTTTGAACATGCCCCTTTCAATTAGTGATTCAATTACACAGAATCAGCAGCATGGATGTCATGACTGTTGGGCCTGTTGGATTTCTATTACTCTACTACACCTGCTAGTAAATTATTTGCCATGTAGAAACATAATTTCTACCAAAAACAGTGCCTGATCAGGTTAGTGATGTCTGACTGCTATTATTTTGAAGACAACTGTAGATAATTCACTTAGCTTAGTAAATAGGACAAAGCTATGTTCATTTTGAAAACTCAATCAGCAAAGCAAAAAAAAAACGTTTTCTTGTACATTATTGTAGGACTTCATCTTATTCATTTGGCTGAGTACATGGTCCAAATATCGGCCGCTTCAGCAGGAACTGGTCGACATTCAGATCATGTGTACAGCTGTCCTTCCAACAGAAGCCGGCCTAAGGACAGGCTTTTGTTGAAGGTACATGGTGGAAAACCAGCATCCAATCACCACTCACAGCTAATGGCTGTGAGCGCTGATCAGTGTGTTCTGGGGGGGTACCCCTCTCACAACACAGAGGCACAGCGGGGGAGATCGCTGTACTAACATTGCTTGTTTAGTACAGCAATTTCCCAGTTTTATTTTTGCGCTCAGCCCACTGGGTTGAGTGAAAAAAAAATTAATTATTGTACCATGCTTTAAGCTTTAGAAAGTGAACATTCTCTACTCCATTATTAGTAAATCAACCACAGTATGTAGCTAACAATAGTCTAACAAAACTCTTATACATTTAAATGGCAATAAATAGATATACTGTAAATGTTATTTGGCTACATGATCCTATGACTATATAGAAAGGTCATACATTGCTGTCTGCCCACTTGATCCATGTAGAAGGTATTCCATTTCAACTTATTCAGAAAATATTTGAGAACATATAGCAAGAGAGGAGAGTAGGCAAGTATACCAGTGCTCATTGACAACTGGAGGATCATAGCAATAAAGACAAAAAGGCAATGCATGAATAGGTCCATGTCACCTAGGTCCCCATAACCATAACTGGATAGAGTTATCCTTCATAAAGTATCAACTTGCTATATTATATTATAACCCTGAAATTAGAAACACATTCATTACTGGTAAAAAAAAAATATTGCAATGGTGATTTTATTTAAAATATGTGCATGTTCCCAAATCCTTGCCTGACTAAATTACCTAAACATTCTTTTTTGCAGCATGCTGCGGTGAGTAAGACAAAAATATATACTTGGAGTTATGCTGTATGGGATGAAGAAAATTATATTGTAAATCCAAATTCATCCACATGGACCAGCTAGCAAGTCCTGGTTCACTGCACTTTTAGCATTACAGGTGAAGTAAATAGGCTCTGTACACATGGACATCAATAGAAGACACCCAAAAAACATTTTTTGCATTTGCTGAGAATCCTTACTATCTGAACATAACAGAATGTAACAACACTTTGACTAGCAAGAATAAATGACATACATCACAACTGTGCTGTCTCTAGGGTGGCAAATAATGTATAAATTCCATAAAAATCAGTGGGTTAAAACTGTGGCTTCTCTGCTAGCTGTTTATTTAGGAGATAAGTTGGCGATACATGGGTTGAATTCTGAAAGAATTTTCTTTCAAAAATATTTTCTAAGAATTTTAGTTTAAATTTCGCACCATTAGTGGGCCACAGCAACGGCCAAGTTTCGAGTGACCATCGAATTTGAGTGATGGGGTATGTTGGAAATGTTTTGAAAAATGAACGAATTTCTAATTAATAATGGGAGAATCGTGCAAAAATTGTAACTGAAAAAGAAATGAACATGAGGTGCGACCTGGAAAGAAAAGAAGATTCTTGGCCATGAAACTTCTTTTCTGTAGCAACATGAGGTGAAATTAAAGGCTTGGTAGGTTAAACTTCAAAATCAATGGTGGCACCATCAAATTACAAAATGCATGAAAGAAAATTTGTTTAGAATTCAACCCATGTATGGCCTGCAATAGTCTGCATACAGATCCAGCCACATAAAAAAAAAAATGCTGGTTCACACTTTACAAGTCGCATTGCCTAATTGAATGAGCCTTAAAACATCATTCTCACACAGAGCTTTTTTTATTACCTCAACATAGTTTTATATTTTAGATTTATCAGAAATTGTGTAAGTTATGTTTTGCTTGTGTTCACTAATAATGATATTTTCGAGGGGGCTCTCAGGTAGACTGTATGGGGCCCTGTGATTTCAAACAGCGACCCTGATATGGGCAGACGGTTAATGAAGTGCAGGAAGAGTCTGTGGTGGCAGAATGGACTTGTAGTCCATTTATTCACAGAACTCTGTGAACGAATTATGTGAATATGTGGGCAGAGACCTGCACAACTCAACTGTTTTTAAATTGTGACAGTGAGTGCAGGGAGAGAATCCCCCGCCTGCTGTCATGTAGGGATCGGGGGTGTGGGGGACTGCCGCAAAGAAAAACATGTAGCATGTTACAACCCAAATTTCGGTTACAAAAAGTGAACTTCTCCTTTATTCAGTCCAGGACAATTACTTTCTTTCATATTTGGTAGGAATTGTGGGTGGAATTCATAAAGGGTGGCATAGACACCCTATTAAGCATTCCATCGGGCAAGCACCAAAGGGACAGTGTTTGTGCTCTATTCATGAACCTGTTTAGAGAGAGGTACACAGATCTGTCTGCTGTACTTTAGATTGAAAGCGCAAGGCAGAAGGTGGATTCCATAGCAACTTTTAAGTCCAATATCAGCTTTCGAACCCACCTCCTTTTTTCTGTGCTGTCAATGACAGGCAAGGTGGACCTGATGGGAAACTAGTCTCAGAGTTCCTCTATCAGGTTTCACCCACCAAACAAGCACAGTGGCCATGAGTTTCAGTTGTCGGGGATGGAGCCTAATGAGGAACCCTGAGAGACTAGTTGCCCATCATATTTGCTTTGCCTGTGAATGGCAGAGGATGGCATTTGGTGGATTCAAAAGATGCTATTGGGCCAAACAGTGGCCAGAGATCCATCCACTGCTGTCCACTGTCAATCACAGGCAAAGCAGAGCTGATGGGGCACTAGTCTGCATCAGGTGCTGCTCACTCAAAATGTGTTACTGGAACAGAAGCAGAGAGGAAATCCCCTAATGTGGACACTTGTTTCTATGACAACTGTCTAAGAATGGATTTCTTTTCATTTTATTTTATGTCTACAGGGCAGGAAACAAAGAAAAATGCCAGGACACAGATGGCCAGAAGAAAAAAAAAACTGACATAGTTTTAGCTATTCCATATGTAGCACTACCCTAGTAAGGGCCACTGGAT